GTGCAGCTCCTGATGACACCCGAGCACAGTGATACGTGTGACTGTATAGTCACACACACCAACTGAATTCACGCCAGAAGTAAAAGTATGCCAGGCAGGACGTTTACATGTTGCTGGAAGTTGAAACTGCTTCATTAGTCACAGTGGTTTTTAGCTAAAAGCTGGGTGAGTAGGGGGAAGATTTTCTTGAAGCTCAGGTATGCCCTGTCTTTTGCAAGTGGTTCTTTCTGCAGCCCCCAAAGGGAAACCCCAAGACATTCCAGAAAGTTAACCTTAAAATCCTTTTTTTTTTGTGGGGGGGAGGAGGTATTAGCCGTTGGCTCAGACAAGCTTACAGATTCCTAATAACCCATATAATTTCAGTATATCAGGAATATTTGCTATAATGAAACCTATTTCCAGGACACCCCCCACCTCCCTTGGTCCATCCTGTCAGGGTGGGTGATTTGAATCTCCCCTTAGAGTTTGCTGGTGGAGGCTGTGGTCCCAGGTGGCCAGAATCAGAGCAAACATGATTCTCTGGAGCACCGTGTGCTCCGGGGGGAGGTGGGTACAGGCAACTGCTGTTATCTCATGAGCCTGTCACTTGAAGACCACTGTGCTTGGGTCTCTTGTTTCATCCTGTCTGGGCCAAGCAACTCCCCTGCGGCTGAATTTTTCAACCCAGAATCAGAAGAAGGGGACACGGGCAGAGAGCAAGACAATGGCTCCACTAACCACAAACACAACTGGGAAAAAATGGGGGGAAAACCTGTGTGGACATCGCGTCCTTCATCGTTTCTTCCCTGCACAGCTGAGAAGCTTACTCCCAGCTGATACGTGGAGGTCATGGAGCTGGCTCAGGGCGGGCGCTTGGTGCTGAGGTCGAGGCTCACCAGAGAAGGTGTCCTTCCTTGTATGTTCAACGGGGCTGAGCTGAGCTTGGAAGGGCCCCGGGGGAGCGGGGGCAAAAGCAGGGAGAGTACAAGGAGGAGAAGAATCCCAGCAGAGTAGCAGCTGATGTTTGGATCGCCCCACACATCTTTAACAAAGCGCTCATTCACCTTGGCTTAACTACCTCTGATAACAGGGAGCTCTCCCACTCCTGTGCTAGCCTGTTGCATTTTCGGTTCTAACTCGATGGTTTCGACCTCGGCTGTCCACTGAATGGCCTGGAGCTTTAAGAGCACTGAACCTGAATGCAACCTCTAGGTGCAGACTGGACACTGGGAATTTTAAAACCTTCTCCAGTAGTTCAAATGTGCAGCCAAGGCTACAAAGCCCTGCTCTCACCGGTAGGTGGTTCTGCTAAGAGGAAGGTATATTTAGAGAAAAGATGGGCAACGAGTGAGCCTGAAAGGAATAGTTGTAGAGTTTTAAAGACGATTGAGCCCAGAGAGCTCATCTAGCCCGGCAGCCTGGCAGGGGATGTGACAGAGTGATCTGGGAGCTGGGATGTGTGTAGAGAAAACCAGTGCCCACCCTCAGGCTTGCCAGTGATGGGACTGTGGCATCTAATAGGGCACTCAGTTTTACCATTGTCCAGTATGGTGGTGCCGAATTTTCTGATTTTTTTTCCCAAGAGTATCAGAGATCTGGATTTTTATGCAATTTCTCGAAGCTTTTAAATGTTGGCAACTAATTAAAAAAACCAAACAAACAGGGGCTCCTGGGTGGTTCGGTTAAGCATTCAACTTCGGTTCAGGTCATGATCTCACAGTCCGTGGGTTCGAGCCTCGTGTCTGTCTAAGCACTGATTGCTCAGAGCCTGGAACCTGGTTCAGGTTCTGTGTCTCCTCTCTCTGCCCCTCCCCTGCTCACATACACTCTTTCTCTCTCTCTCAAAAAAATAAAATAAAATAAAAACATCATGTGAGGCCCTATTGGGTGAGTCAACAGACTGTATCTGTGGGTAATCGATGGGTCTCCTAGATTGAACTTGACCTCTTCTTTCAGGTTCCAGGGGAAAACGCAGCAGTCCTAGATGTGCCTGAGAAAAGGTTAGATAGAGCTTAGATAACACGCTGCCTCCCCACTCCTGGTTTTTGGGCCTCTTCCGCCCTAGGGTGATTCTGAGAGGGTCGAGGCCAGGACCGAGCTGGCCACAGAGGCTGTTGACCCTACCCAGGGGCGTGTGAGCCACTGCAGTGTCCCTGCACGAGAGCATAGCTCCATTTGCTCCCTGAGCAAATTGAAGCCCTAACACTGGCCACATGCCAGATTAAGGGATTTGTGGTTTGTTTATTTTCTGATTGTAAGACCCTTCGCCTGAGAAGGCTTTTGGATATGAATTTCTTTTCAGGACATCAGTGCTGTGCTCAGAGATGGGCAGGGAAGAGTTTGATCAGGAGGAGGTCTGAGGTTACACAGACACATGCTCTGCCCTCCCTTGCAGATGTGACTTTCATCCCCACGTCTCCTTGGTGAACACTGTCTTTCCCCTCCCCTCGCCGCCGCCCTCCCCCAAACTAACCACATGAATCACATCTTCCTGGAAATGTTCTTTTTGTTCCATTCCTTCCCAGTTCCTACTGAGGTAATCGCTTCCACCTATTATGAACATTGCTCCTGCTTCTCCTGTGGTGCTTATCAATCTGGCCTGATAATTCGCTAGTGTATGGGTTGGTCTCCCCCCCTAAACAGTGCTGGAATTTCCTCGAGAGCAGGGGCCGTGCCTTATACTCCTGGTAGGAGCTTCAGAGGCACCTGGCTCATTGCACGGGGCAGCCAGGGCACTGTGGTGAGGACAGCAGCACTCAACAAACACTCCATGTGCCCTCCTACATCTCCCAGTATCCCTTGCAATTGGACAGGAGTCATGTGACCAGCTTTTGCCAATAGGCTGTGACAAGAAATGTGTCCCTTGGGGGCCAATGTTTCTTTTTTTTAAAATTTTTAAAAAATATTTATTTATTTTTGAGAGAGAGAGAAACAGAGTGTGAGCAGTGGAGGGACAGACAGAGAGGGAGACACAGAATCTGAAGCAGGCTTCAGGCTCTGAGCTGTCAGCACAGAGCCTGATGCGGGGCTCGAACTCACAAACTGCGAGATCATGACCTGAGCTGATGTCAGACACTCAACTGACTAAGCCACCCAGGCGCTCCAGGGCCAATGTTTCTTAAGAGCTGGCCCTCCCTTCTTCTCTTCTGCCTTGGAGAACCTCAAAGCCTCTCATAAAGACGGTGTCAGCCTAAGAAGGAAGAATCCTAGATCCCTGAATCACTGGCTGGAAGAGGCTGGGAGCCGACCTGCACCACACCTTGCACGAATGAGCAATGAGCTTCAGTTGTGCTAAACCATGAAGGGTCTGGGGGTTGTTACTGTAGCACAGCCTAGAACCACTATTATCCTGGCTTCCATTGTGCTCAGCAAACGTTTGACTCAAATGGAACTGGAAAATACAAAGAAGTCAAAAAGCAGAAAGGGGGAAGCCCCGCAGCGCACACGGCCTTGTACCTGTGGCTGGCGGGGCCGGGGCTGGGGCCGGAGATGCCTGCCCTCTCGGATCTGCTGCCAGCCTTTCCACCGAGAGTCAATCACTGGGGAAGGTGTTAACAGCAAAGGAGGCTCCAGATTGAATCGAGAGCTCAGGGGCACAGAGGGACCCACTTAATTCCCATCCTGCAGCCATGGGTAAACAAGAACACTCCTGAGCGATGTCTGACAGGGACACGGGGGTGCCGTTTAATGAGCAGCTTGTAATAGAAGCTGGCTGAGTCATGTGGGAACAAATCACCCTTGATTTCCTTTCTATCTCCTCAGCCGCTCTGGCCAATTTAGAGACTGTGTGTGTGGCCGACTTGTACACTGTTTCCTTCCTTAGGATAACAGCTGGGTGTTAAAACACAAACTAATTAATTTTGCCTTCCCAAATGAGGTTAGCTGGGTGCATCCGGGATGTTGTATTGACAATGCACCTTTAATATCCCAGTCTTGAGATTTTAATTAGAAGGCAAAGTAATCTCAAAGAAGGCAGTAATTATTTTTCAAATTGGTTACCCCAATTGCCAAGACGATTAAGCGCCGTATTTTATGAGCATGGACAGCAATAGATGAGGATTGCCAAAATCATCTCCAAAGCACATTTGTCCTTCTTCCTGGCTCCCTGGGCTCGGGATGTGGCAAACGCAATGGTTGCCGCTGTTGGAAAAAGACGCCAAAAGGGCTTTCTCTAAGACACTAAAAGCACTTTGTGGGACATAGCTCATGTTGTCCTTAAGGAGCAGGAATGCCTTACAGGTAGTTACCATGGGACACTTGGTGTCACTTTGTGCAAGGTCAGCAGCAAAATAGGGGACAAGACCCTCAGACTCCTGGTCTCCCATTATGCACATCAACAGCTTGGGCCCTGATCTGAGGGCCCACAGCTGTTTTTTCTGACCACAGCCCTCTGCGTAGGGCTCTGGTATCCTGGGGAACATCTCAGGATGAGGCTGCCCAGCTTTGTGACGATGGAGAGCTGGGGATTTTGTCTCAAAATCTGGAAGGGGGGCAGTGCAGAGCTAAGTCCCGTGGATGGTTGAGGCCCATTCCTGGTCCTCAGGCCTCCGTGCTTACCCAAGCCAATGCTCTTCAGTCGAGTCAGCAAGGTTAACCTCAAGTATGACCATGCCACCAAAAACTCCCCAGTGACTCTCGGAGTTCCCGGGAGAATGTCCAGTGGCCTCAGCCAGGCTTGTGAAGCCCTCGTGAGCTGGGCCTGAAGTCCCTCCTACCGCCTGGCATACACAGCCACATGGCTACGAGGTACTTCTTGGTTTCCAGCAGGACATCACCACCTCCCAGGTCTCCTGGCTGGCAATTCCTTCGTATGGTCTCAGCTTCGATGTCACTTCCCGGACCTCCCCACATGGGTCTGTGCCTGTGTGCTGTTCTTTCCCTAGCAGAGCACTTATCACCCTATGCTATAATTATTCATTTACTTGTCTTTCTCCTCCCCTACAATTAAAAATTCTGTGAGCAAGTGGACTGACTTCCTGCTTCTTTATGAGCCCAGATCCTAGCATAGCTCATGCACAAAGTGGGTGAATCACAAATCTTTATTCAATGAAGCAATGAGTGGAAACGAGCAAGCAGAGGCCAATGATTCCCTGTGGGGGCACTGGTCAGAGAAGTGAAGGAGGCTGGCCTTACCATAGACCCTTCTAGGCAGCCACCAGGTCTGCACATGAGAGAGGCAGGCTAACGGTATGATGCCAAAAAACATGAGGAAAAATCACGATGCTGATCCCTTCAGGGCTTCCTCCTGCTACAGGGAGGGCCCCTTGGGGAGTCAAGAGACTGTCGCTCATGCACAGGGATCACCCTTTGGCCCAGCAGGGACAGAAAGACTACCTCTTGGGGGCTGAAAACTTGTGGCTGGATCCTGGAGGTTAAATTGACACCACTCCAGACAGGAAAAAAAAAAAAAAATAATTAACCTCATTCATAACTAAAGGAATCCAATTTCACACAACAGTCAGATGCCATTTTCCGCTGGATTGGAAACATAACAAATGTTGATAATATACCACGTTGGCAAGGTTATGGAAAAACAGGAATTTTCAATAATCGTAGGTGGGAGTGTAAATTGGTACCTACCTCTAGTGAGGGCAATTTGGTAACCTCTATACAAACTAACAATACCCACATTCATCTCTTTTTAGCGATGGCACATCTAACGAGCAAGTATGTGCATGTATGTGTGCAGGTGTCAGTATAAGATGATCACTGTAGCAGTGGTTATACTGGGACAAGATTGGAAAAACCCACGATGACCACCAATGGCTTCTGCTCACAGAAATTATTGCCCAGACACTGTAAAGGAGAGCTAGGTGCTGTGTACTGATGTGGAATGATTTCCAGAATATATCAAGGTATGGTGCTTAAAACACGCTCCCTTATGTTTAAAAGTGGCTATTTCTGGAGGAGTATACACAGAAAACCAGTTTAACAGGCTGCCTCTGTGGAGGAAGGCTTGCTTGCTTTTCACTTTAAATCCTTTTAGACTGTTTGGATTTTTCTTTTTACTATGTGCATTTGCTATTTAAAAAATAGAGAGACAGTCTATGAAAAATGACTTAATACCGCAGACCTCTCTCCTTTCCTCCATGTCACGCCGTCATGGAATATACACTCCACGTCCCTGGAGGAGACTGGAACCCGGCTCCTGGACTGGCCCTAGGGACACATTCTTGGGACTGAGACGGGCATGTGTGGGAGGGGCCACCTCCCAACTGCTCTGGTCTTGCCTCTTATTCTCTGCACCAGGCTTGCTCTCTCACCCATCCAACCTCAGGCTTCTCCAGGCTGCCAGGCAGCAAGCAGTGCCCGCTCTGAAGATCTGCTCCAGCCCTGGTTGGGATGCCCGCTGGATCACTGCCATCCTGCGGCCTACGTTCAGCACTTTTGGTGCCCAATTAAGCATCAATTCACAGGCTTCCTCTGCACCAGGCCCACGGTTGGGCAGCTAAACGGGCCAGGCAGCAGGCTGCTTTCCTGCCCGAGGGCCACCCTCTCAGTGGGTCACAGCCTTCCGAATTGTTGTCATTGAATCTGAGCCATTCACTACCAGCTGCGGACCAGAGTGTTCCCCATCCTGCAGCCACGTTCAGCTGCCTGGGTGTCCTTCTGCTGGGTTGATCATCTCCCTTGCCAGCAACCAGCCAGGGCACTGTGCCACCCTGCAGTGTGGCAGAGCCAGAAGCCCTCTGGAAGAGCTGTTCAGTCAGGGGCAGGGCCAGTACGAAGAGTCAAGGGCAGGCTTTCTTAGCACCAGGCTGCCCCCTCCCTGCAAAGCCCCTGCCCAAGAACTACCCCAGATGGGCAAGCATCTGCAGAGTAGTCAGTGGTTAGAGAGTCTCCTGGCACAGGTGCAATGAATCAAAGACTCTCTGAGTGGAAAAGGTGACCATCTAGCTCAATTGTTGTGGGCTGAATGATGTTCCCTCAAAACTCATCTGTGGAAGTCAACCTCAGACTGTGACCTCATCTGGAGATAAGGGTCTTTACAGAGGTAATGAAGTTAAAATGAGGTAATTAGGGTGGCCCTTATTCCAATGCAATGGATGTCATAATACGCAGGGGGGATTTGGAGATACACAGGCACACAGGGAGAACAATGGAGCTGGTCCTCCACGAGAGAGAGAGGCCTGGGACAGATTCTTCCCTCAGAGCTCTTGGAAGGACTTCCAGTTTCCATATCTGTGAGACAATAATTTCCTGTTGTCAATTTAGGTCACTCGGCCTGTGGTCCTTTGTTGTAACAGTTCTTACAAACTAATACACTAACTCTGCCCGATGCAGGTTTCCCAAGTCATGGCCCACCAAGAGGCATTCACTGCTGCCTGAACAAGAGGCAACCAAGCTCATTTCAGATGACCTTTATTTGTTGGAATGTTCTTCCCAGTGTCCAGATGAAACCTGACTCCCTGTATATCCCTTCTCAACCCTAGTTCTGCACCTGGAGCCTCACAGGCCAAATCCTTGAGCCCCTCAAGGGCAAAATCCTTGCTTCATTGACTTTTGTGTTCTCCCAGGACAGGCCTGGAGCCTTCTGGGAGCCTATAAATACTTGTTAATCAGAGAAAGATTGTTCTCATGCTCTTTGGAGACTTCTCTGTCTAAAGCTTTCAACTTTCGAACTTCTCTGCCACTGTGGTCCTTCTCATGCCTGGGCCTGGGACCTAAAACATCTCCAAGTGGGATTTGACCAAGGTCATTGCTGATCTCCCAGACTCTCGAAATGTTATACATTTTGTATAAGATCTAAGATTTTAGATTATACGGTTGTTTAGAACTTGAGTACAGAATCTCGCATTTATCCATATTAAATTCCTCCCTCTTAGACTGACTAATTGTTTCAGCCCACCAAAAGAAGTGTGGATTCAACTCTGAGCCCCAAATATTAGGAATGTCCCAAAAGTCATGTCTTCTGTGCATTGGCTAAGGAGACAACTGATGCCTTCATCTAAGCCATTGGTAAAAATGGGGATAGTTGGCAGGATGGGAGGCTGGTGGAATGTTCTTAGAGATCCCCATGAAATCAACCTTTAATTAATTAGTGTCTTTTGGGTGTCAGTGGTCAACAGACAGTGGTCAGCCTATCGGTCAAGGACATGAGAGGAGGGATGGCAGTGGAAGAGTAGAGACAACCGAAGCCTATACACATGGGTTCTAGTCCCGCCGCTCTTCGTCTGAGTGACCTGGGGCGATCCACTTAGCATTTCTGAGCCTGTTTCCTTGTGAGGAAATGGGGATGAAAATAGCCTCTATCTTACAAGGCTTCTCTGAGAAGAGAGTTAACATTTGCTCCCTTTTACTCCTTGAACCATCCATCAGATCGCAGTTCTTTCTCCATGCTGCTCAAGAAATACTTTGTCAAAGTATTGATCCTGGCTCTACCTGTCTGCCATCCTCGTTGGAAAAGCAGAGCAGGACAGTGTGCCCTGGCGTTGTCCAGTGAGCACAACTGCTCTCGGTGTTTACTTCTTCAGGTGTTCATGAGCCATTGATTGCACTGCCGACCTTTTTAAAATTCTGGGTTAGGGTTGACAACAAGCCCAGTGGAGTCCACATTTCACCCATGTTTAGAAAATTGGGGCAAGGATGGGCTGTTCCAGACTGTCCTTTTCCAATTTTTGTATGATTTGGAGAAGATCACTGCCAGCTTCTCAGTGGTCTTAGTGTACGATTTCTCCCGGGATGTTAATTGGTCTCGGTTTTGTTGAGAGTAGAGGTTCTCAAACTTACGCCATGCATCGGAATCACCTACTGGGTTTGTTAAAATGCAGATTTCTTGGCCCCAGTCCTACAGTTTCTGATTCAGTAAGCCCGGTTGGGCCCGAGAATTTGCATTTCTAACAGGTACCCAGGTGATGCTGATATTGCTGGTCTGGGGACCATGTTGAGAACCACTGGTTTCAAGCAGTTGGGTGGCATTGTAAGTAATGATACCAAAGGCTTTGTTACACTATCCACAGCTCTTCTTTGCTGAGAAGACAGATGTAGAAGAGAAATCAAGAGTCCAGTTTCCCTCTGTCTTTTGTAGCCTCTGCACCGCCTGCCCTTATCTTTTTGGTTTTCCTTACTTGAAACATAAGATGCCCTTTCTGTTGTTCTTATTATTTTCTTAAGCTCAAACTCAGGCTTTGGCCTTCCTGACATTATTCTTCTAGGGCCTCTGTCATTATTCCCTGGTTATTGTAACGGGGCAAATGGATCGGGGGCGGGGGGGGGGGGGCGGTGGTGATCCGGAGCAAGGGAGGAGTCCTGAATCTGTCTCTTGCCAGCCATGGGACCTTATACAAGTTGCTTACCACCCGAGGCTCAATTTTCTTATCTTTAAAATGGGATATTTGTAGTAGCTCTCTCATTACGTGACACAATGCTTAGCACGGTGTCTGGCACAGAAGTGTTAGGGATGGTTACTTGTGGCCCTTGTCTCTTTTCCTACATGTCCTTCTTAAATCTGAGGTCACTGGGGACCTGTTGACCAGTCGCCAGATGCTCTCTGAGTATCAGCACTGTGCAGCAGGAAGTGGCATCACCCTGGCCTCAAGGCACTTACACCTGAAACAATTAGTGACCAGAAGTAGGTTAATAATCACAAATGTGTACTAGGAGATTGTTGAACCAGGGAAACTGAAACCATGGTCATTTGGTCTCTTGACATGGCTCTACCATGTGCCAGGTGTTAGTGCCGGATGGACTTAACACAAGCAGCATTGGCTCTGGAAGTGATTTATATACATGATTTCATGTGGTCCTCACAAGAAGCCTATTGGCGGTTACTAGAGCATCCCACAATTTTTTCCCCATGAATGGATGGACTGCGGACACTAAACCAGCCCTGGGAGCACAGTGACTTGCATGTGGACATATCTGGGCATTGCAAGCCACCCAACAGCCAAATGAATGAGGGAGGGCAAAGACCAAGGTGAGGTCAAGGGGCAAACGACACTGAGAGCCTCAACAGAGGGTTCCACAAGACTGTGTCAAGCCTCAGGTGCCAGCGGGTGTTTGGTGGGACCCTGAGGTATTCTCACCTTTGGGTGCATTGTGCCTGGTGGGAAAGCTGCCCCATACTCAGAACTGCCCTGTGCACTGCGCTCATATATGCTGCTGCCCACTGTGGTCTCCTAACACCGCTTCCCCAGTGCGGCAGTGCCCGGCCCACTGAGCTCACTGGACCCCCGATCCAGACCGGGCTGGGTGTAAATTTGCTGCATCTCATGCACTGGCTAGAGTGGGGTGATGTGCTTGAGTGCCTGGCTGTGCCTCTCACTGGCTGCGTGGTCTCCCACAAATCACCCAACCCATCTAGGCATTGACTTCCTCATTTGAAGAACGAAGACGCTAGGATGACTCAAAGTTCATTCCCACTTGACATTCCCACCAGCAGGGCACAAGGATTCCGATTTCTTCACATCCTCACTGACACTTGCTATTTCCCACTTTTTTGATAGCCATCATCCTAGTGGGTGTAGAGTGGTACCTCACTGTGGTTTCGTGTTTTCCCAATGACTAGTGATGTTGAGCATCTTTTCATGTGCTTTTTGGCCATCTGGACATCTGCTCTGTAGAAATGTCTATCCAAATCATTTTTAAATTGGGCTGTTTGATTTATTTATGTTGCTGAATTGTAGGAGTTCCATGTGTACTCCGGATACTAATCCCTTATCAGATATGTGATTTTCTCCCATTTATTTTCCCATTTATGTGATTTTCTCCCAAATATGTTCTCCCATTCTGTGGGTGGATTTTTTTTTCACTTATTTAATATATTGGCTTTTTGGTGCAGAAGAAGTTTTAATTTTGATGAAGTCCCTTTTATCTGTTTTTTCTTTTGTTGCCTGTGTTTTTGGTGTCATTCTTAAGAAGCCGTGGCTTAACCTAAGGTCATAAGGATTTTCCCCTACATTTTCCTCTAATAGCCACTTTCTTATAATTGTACACTTAAAAGCGGCTAACATGGGCTACTATATAAAAAAACAAACAAACATAACAAGTGTTATCAGGGATGTGGGAAAATTCAATGACAAATGTCAGTGAAAATGTGGAGAAACCAAGACCCTTGGGCACCGCTGGTGGATTGTAAAATGGTGCAGCTACTATGGAGAACAGTGTGGAGGTTCTTTAAAAAATTAAAAACAGAAATACCATATGATCCAGCAATTCTACTTGGGTATGTAGCTGAAAGAATCAAAAGCAGGGTCTTGGGGTGCCTGAGTGGCTCAGTTGGTTCAGCAACTGACTTTGGCTCAGGTCACAATCTCCCAGTTTGTGGGATCAAGCTCTGAGCTGGGTTGTGTGCTGACAGCATAGAGCCTGCTTCAGATTCTCTGCCTCCCTCACTCTCTGCCCCTCCCCTGCTCTCTCTCTCTTTCAAGAATAAACAAAACAAACATAAAAAAAAAAAAAGAAAGCAGGGTCTTGAAGAGAGAGCACACCTATGTTCATAATAGCACTACTCACAATTGTCAAGAGGTGAAAGAAAATTGAATGTCCTTTGATGGGTGAATGGACAAACAGAATATTACTCAGTCTTCAAAAGGAAGCACATTCTGACATATGCTACAGTATGGATGAACCTTGAGGACATTATGTTAAGTGAAAATGAGTCAGTCACAGCAAGGCAACTGCTGTGCGAATCTACTTGTAGGAAGTATATAAAGTAGCCAAATTCATGGCAAGTGAAGTAGAAGGTGGTACCAGGGGCTGGAGGGATTGGAGAAAAGGGGACTTTTTCTTGTTTCATAGGTACAGAGTTTCAGATTTGCAAGATGAAAAATTTCTGGAGATCTGTTTCCCTAACAGTGTCCATATACTTAATGCTACTGAGCTGCCTGGTTAAAACTGGTTAAAGTAGTAAATATTATGTTGTATATATTTTATCACAATGAACATGTTTATCCCCTCCCACCTCATAAACAGAATTTAATTATAGATTTTTAAATAAGGAACAAGATTATCCTGTGAACTAGTTTATACTGGAACTTTGAGGTGAAGAACTCCCGACAGGTGACTCTGACTTCATCCATCACTGTACTACAGGATCCTTTATCAAAATTGAGCCTAATATGGCTCCTTCCTGTGGTTTCACCTTCTGGCCCTACTTCTACTTCTTCCTTTTAAATATGGTCTTTTTTTTTTTTTTTAAGTTTGCTTATTTGAGAGAGAGAGAGAGAGGGAGAGAGAGAGAGAGAGAATGAGCAGGGAGGGGCAGAGACAGAGGGGGACAGAGGATCTGAAGCAGCTCTGCACTGACATCACAGAGCCCAATGCAGGGCTCAAACTCAGGAACTGTGAGATCATGACCTGAGCCAAAGTTGAATGCTTAACCAACTGAGCCACCCAGGCGCCCCCTAACTTCTACCTCTTAAGTCTATAGGTCAAGTCTAATCCCTTGGTGGGTGGTTGGTGGCAGCTGGCATGGTGGCAGGAGCTATGGTTGACTGACTGTGTGTCTCCTTCGTCAGCACAGGACACACACTCAGATGTAGGAAGTGTTCCCCAGTGAAGGGACAGAAAAAACAGGGCTCAGGCAGACAATGGGCCTCTTCAACCGCATGAGTAGCAGAGCCGGGATTTGAAGCCAGGGCTCCCTAACTCCAAAGCCCACAATTTTCATGCTAGACGGGTCTGCCTCTGGGCCAGGTTCCTACTCAGCCATCTTTTCTGTGGTCCCTTGGTCTTTTCTCCTGTGGCTTTTTTCCACGTGCCCCCTGCCCCCACCAGCCCACTCCTCCTCTTGAAGCAAACCCCAGGTAAATTCCCACCAAGTCCAAGGCAAGCCCTCCCTCTCACTACAGATGCTACCCACCTTTCCTGTAATGCCCTCCTGGACCCCAGACCCCACAGAGGGAGAGGCTCATTGGCAGAAATCCATTCCAAGGCCCCTGAAGCCCTCTCCGCCCCCCGCCCCCCACCTCTTTTCCTTGCTAAAAGCAGAAGGCTGCCCTGTTCTCTCTCCTGCAGGATTTCCTCCCGGGAGTTGCTGCAAGAGAAAATGTTGCCATCCCAGGATTAACAGCCTGTTTGTTTAAAGGGCCTATTACTGGTGCTTAATGCTATTTTGACAGATGAAAGTGAGTCAATTATAGCTGGAAATAGCTCTGGCTGTGTACGTCTCTTCCAGGTAGTGGCCCTTTCCCTGTCTAAGGGACTGTTTCTCTTTACCAAGGGGCAGTCCTTCTTCTTTTCTTATCCTGTCTGACCTCCAAACCATGCAAAGAATTTCTTCCTTCCAGGAAGAGGCAACATTTAAGGCCTGGAACCTAAATCCAAGAGATGGGGGTTTCTGGGGGCAAGACCCACGCTGTGACAGGGGTGAAGTGGATGCTGAAGGAAGGCCTGACAGGTGAACCTCCAGGATAAGGGATGTGGCCCCAGTGAGCCCTGTGTCCATCAGGAGTCACTCTGCTCCATGAGCCATGAGCATAGCTGCCTCTTACTGAGTGTCTCTTTAGGCCTTTTTGGGGGGCAATGGGTTTCTGTGTTGACACCCACCCTAAGGAGACCAGAGCTGGTCACAGGCTTGGGTGCCTCAGGGGTCACCTTGGTGAGGACAGCAAGAGTCCTTTGATTGGCTACAGAGTTTCCCAGGGTCACACTGAGTTATGCTCAGGCCCCAGTAAAGAGCATTTCAATTTCACAGGGGGTCTGTACAAGGGGCTCGCTTATGCCCAGAGCAGGACAGTGAACTCCCGCCATGTGACTGGATGGGCATCTGGTTGTAGGGCCTGACCCAAGCTGCAAGGTCAGGAGTGTGCAGGGGCATGTTTGTAACAGGCATCTCAAGCTTAATATGCCCCAAGTCCTTCTTCCTCAATACCCCCAGGCATGCATGGGGTTCTCCCCAGCTCTCCACTCACAGAAAATGGTGCCACTGTCCATCCACCTGCTCAAGCTCTAATCCTAACTGCCATCCTGGATGTTTCTCTTTCTCACACCCTGGAGGTCCTTAAGCAGAACCCACCGGAAAATCCTGCTGCCTCTCCTCCAAAGTATTCAGCAAATCTGAGCCAATTGTTGCCTATCTGCCACCAGTGTCCCAGTCAAAGCCACAGTCAGCCCCAACCCAAACTATTGCAAGAGCTTCCAACACATGTTCCTCCTTCCATCCTTGCCCTTCATGGTTTATCACTCACGCAGCAGCAAGGGGAGGACTGTTCTCAACACAGCTCTCCAGGCTGGCACTACTGATTGGTCAAAACTGGCATGCCGGATGGAACCCACCTGCCAGCGCCCCTCCTTCCTCCAGGTGGGAAGGCTCAGAAAGGCCGGGGACGTGCTGAGGTCATACAACCAGTGAGGGGGGTAAGGTGGAGTGGAAATGCATCTGGGAAAGGAGTATTGCCCACCAAGCACCTGTCATACTCGGTGACGGCCCCCACCCCCAGGGAGAGGCCGCTCACCCGCGGACGGCGTGCAGCAGGCGCAGAGAGGGGTATGCAGTTCGCACGTTGACGCGGTGCTTCAGGATGAGCTCGTTGACCCACTCAACGCGCTCCTTGCCGCCCCTGGCCATGAAGGCGGGAATCCACAGGATGCTGCCATTGAGACTGTGCAGTCGCTGCAGCAACTTCTCCCGCCAAGTGGCGTTGACCAAGTCCTCAAAGGCCCGTTGGATGACGGAGGGGTTCATGGTCACCAGGTCTGTCTTGAGCCCCACATCCCGGGCATATTCCTGCACGGGGGCCAGGTTGCACCTGCCAGGGAGAAAAGCATCATGGTCCTTTGGGGCAAGATGAGGCGCTGTTGCTTGTATTTCATTTTGTCCAGCCTTTGCCTCCCCTCACCTCTTCCTCATCCCCAAAGACCCAGGGCATCTTCCAGCACCCACCCGCCCCTCCTGTCACCCGTGCTCCTTCTTCCCTGCCACACGTATTTGCTAGGCTCTTACCACACACATACAACTTTGCTGGTCCCTGGGGCTGTACAGGGCCTGCCTTCTGGAGTTGAGGATGTAGCAGAGGAAGGAGGCAAGTAAGCCACCCTCAGCTCACAAGATGACCATGCTGTTGCAGGTGTGACCTGGCCACGTTAGGTAACAGTGAGGGCTCTGAAGGCACACTCCTACTTCTTACCTGTGTGATTCTGGGCAACCTGCTCAACCTCTCTGTGCTTCCTAAGAGCTTTCCCTACAGCTAAGGAATATGCCCAACGGTTTCTTTAGCTATGATAGAGATTGCAACAGCACCCCATTCCAGGGATTAAAGGAGTCATTGCATATCGAGTACTTAGGACCCTGTTGGACCACACCAAGATCTCAGTAAATGCAAACTATTGGCCTATTAATATTCCCATATTAGTATGGGAAGGAGGAATGTTTGGTCGTGTTCCCAGAGGTGGTAACCACTGAGAGAAATCTAGAAGGATGGGTGAGTATTAGTCCATTTGTGGATGAGGCACTTAGAAGAGTGTTTTTCCAGCTTTCCCGAGCAGTGGAATCACTTCAGGCAGTAGTTAAAAATACAGATTCACTGTGTCTCTCACCTGGGCATCCAGGTTCAGCAGGTGAGCCTAGGAATGGATACTTATTTTTACAAGCTCTTCAGGTAATTCTTATAACCAGGAAGTTTGGGCAACATCAGGCTCTGGCATTGTAGGCACAAGAAATGTATGTAAGGGCGTAGAGGTGTGGAGCAGTGTGGGTATTAAGGGGAAGGCAAGCGACATATTGCCTGGGACATATTGTGTGGAAGAGATGAATCTAGAGAGGTCAGCAGGGCCTATATGTCAGGGATTTGGCTCCAAGGGCAATAGGGAGTCACTGAAGATTCCCGAGCAGGAGAGTAACAGATTTGCATTTTAGGCAATAGCTAGACAACAATAAGGTGAAGTTGTACAGGTATTTAGAGTGGATGGAATTGTATCTAGGAGGACAAACTAAAAGGCCATTGCAATCTCTTGCTGAACAAGCCTGGGACTCTGGGTGGGTGGCCTCTGATATCTCACCAGAGGCCTGCTTTGTGGGGAACTCTCCCACCTTCACAGGTCCAGCTTGCATGTGCACACTGGGGCTTCTTGCCTGTGATGCAAGCTGATCAGACTAGGGTGGCCAAGGGCACTGCTGGGGAGGCCTTGCTGCTGTCTGCCTGGAAGATTTGTTGGTGGAGGAGCCCTTTGACCAGTGGAGTTAAGTCTGAGAAATTAGAGTAAGTATTTATAGAACAGAGGCTGGAGACATGAAGACCAGGGTCACAGGTCATTGCCAAATGATGAGATCCAGAGAGACACCACTTACCCTCCTTTCAAGCCAGGACTTTCTTCCTTCAACAATTGGGGAGAAAAAGTAGGATCATCAGAAAGAAAACTAACATCCCGGGGCTCCGGGTGTTTGCCAGCCCCTAGTCCTTTAACACAGGTCTGCTCATCTTATTCTGGCTCAGTATTAATCACCCTCACTTTACAAGGCCCAGAATGTGCCAGAGTCCCAGAGCTAGTAAGGGAATCTCCAGGATTCAGTCTCTGGTGTGTTGGGCTCAAAAGCTTGTTTGCTGCTCAGACTAGACCCCCTAAAATGCCCGCTCTCCCCATTCCCACCCTGGCCTTGCTATCTCTGACTGTGGTTACACATTGCAAGGGGGCAGAACTGACTTGAGACACCTTCAGGGGCCCCTGCTGCAGACCTTAGAGGAACAGAGCATCTCATCATGTCCACCAGTTAGACAGTTACCCCTATTGTCCTATAGCCCAGGTGAACCAGGCTTCTAAGGGCTTCCTGAAGGCCTGGGGCCTCTTCCAGGCCAACCACCAGGTCCTGAGAGCAGGGTCCTCAGTGCAGTTCAGGTGTACTGAGTCTATCGTGGGCCAGTAAGGGCTGTGGGAGAGGCAAAGAAGGAACTGATGTGGAGCCTGACCCCAGGAGGCTTCTGGGGTGGTTAGGGGAGAGGAACCACGGAAGTCCTTACCCAGCTACAATACTGGTCACTCGGGATATCGTCCAAGTAAGGTGCGATAGACTCTGGGGAGCCCTGGGGCTTCAACCTCCCTGGGGCAGGCTCCCAACCTCATTCAACATGGGACCCGGCTAATGGAAGGTATTCCAGGGAGGGGAAGGCTGCAAAGGCCAGGATTTTCCCATGACCATGTCCAGGGCCACTTCTTGAGTGAGGATGATGGAGACATTAGAGTAAGTCTGCTCAGCTCTATCTTATCCCACAGCAGGCCCGGCCTCCCAAAGCAAATTCTGGGTGGGCTGTGGGTGGGCTGGACAAGAGTCCGTCCATTCCAGAAACAGGCATGTCCACAGGCACAGAGTGAGGCCCACAACCTGAGCCTGGCCCGAGTGTGCCATGGACCTCTGGTTCTCTCAGCCTCAATTTCCTCCCTGCAAAAGCCAGCGCAAGATAGAACATTCCTGACAGGGTTGTTGCAAGAATAAAATAAGTTAATAAACATGAAGTGCATAGATTTGCACCTGGTGTATGCTAAGTAACTAATGAGCATGATGATAATGATGGGGATTTATCTGTGAAAGGGCGTTTGTTCATAAGACTCTCCTCTCCCTATTGAAAGTGTGTGTGTGTGTGTGTGTGTGTGTGTGTCCATGCGCACACATGTGAATGTGAGCAAACAGTGAAGTTTTGATCCCTAAACATCTGGGAATATACTCTGTACATATATGACCCTGAGTTAGGTAGTCTCTTCAACCTACCATTGCAGGCTCACGGGGACCCTGTGGGGACCAGCCCTCCTGTCTGGCCCCATTTCCCAGCCACACCCGAGACAACGTAGGCTCACTCAGGCACCAGCTTCCGTGATCCATGAGTCTAGCTTCTTGCTTCCATGGCTTTCCTCACACTACGTCCTCATGCTCACCATTTTCATGTGCTAAACTCAGCCACCTTCTTCCAGAAGCCTGCCCTCAGGTCCCCCAGGAGGCTGCGTAGTTTGCAACCTCATTGCATTTTGCATGGGGGTGTCTTCCCATGGTTCAGTGTTGAGTTTTCTGAGAGGGGGCAAGGTCTTGTTGTCTCCCATGCAGAAGAGGGGCCCAAATGACACAGAGCAAGGCAAAGTGATTGAAGACTTCAATTGATGGAGACAAAGAACATCCCATCAGAACCCTCCGGGCATCTGTTCTCTCAGCGAAGCTGCTCCGAGCCTGAGCCCCTCATCTATGCCAGGCACAGGCTTGGGCTGGCGTTCAGGGATGGACACAAGCAGTCCACTTTAGGGGAGCTCATGGTCAGTGTGAGGCAGGTGGGGTGGAGACACAGGGTCCACGGAGAGCTCTCATTTGCAGAGGCAAATGGTACAGGAGAAATGGTGTGGAATTGTGGGGTGACCTCCCTGCACCCCAAGGGAAAGGCAGCGGGGAGATGAACACTTGTGCTTTGTTGTGGGAGACATGGCCCAGGCACACTCACACATGCCAACTCAGGCAGTGGCCATAGCATCACACCCCGTTTACTCTTTTTGGGGCCTTTGGCCTGTGGGATCCCCCCGGGGGAGGACACGGATGATCCTCCAGATGGGAAGAGCCCAGAGGAATGGCCCCACTGGGGCGGAGGAGCCAGTGCTGCCACTCGGCACCAGCCGGGGTCTGTACCCGGAACAGCTTTGTGATCTTGTCCTAAAAGACCACTCAAGTCCACCCCCCAAACACACAGGTGTGTGAGAGCCACGTGCAGAGTGTAAAGCTCGAAGGACAACTGTGCGTTGTTCTGAGGCGCTCTCTCCTTGGTGCTTCAGCTCCCTCTTTTCTAAGCACGTGTGGACAGGTGTGGACAGGACCCCCGGGAGAGGCAAAGCATGGCTTTCCAAGTACAGCCCGCACAGCAGCAGGGAGGGCATTAGATATGCATGGTCTTAGGCCCCGCCCCAGACTGGATGACTCTGCCCTTGGAATAAGCTCAGGGGGCTCCTGTGAAGGTCAAAGTTTGCTGGGTCTGGCCCAGAGCACAGCCGGTATTCCTAACAGAAGGACCTCAAAGACAACCAGTCCAACCCGCTCCATTTACAGAGGGTGAAACAGAGGTCCAGAAAGGGCAGTGACACACTCCCGAGTCGTGTGACAAAAATGAGCCACAGAGCCAAGATGGGACTCTGACGCCACACTGCTCATCTTGCTGTGTCAGTGCCCACAAGGGAAAGTTCTGGCTGGAATCAGCCGTTGCCTTTGGAAATTGCTAGGGCAGGGCTAGTTCAGAGAGGGAAACCTCATCATCAAAACTAGTGACAAAGGCATGGCTTATATGTGTGACACCAAATCAGAAAGGCCTCCCTCCATGCTGCCTGGCACCCCTGCTTTTACCCTCCGCCTGCACCTTTAACACCTCTGTCCCCTTCGCTCCCCCCGACCCTTCTTTGGCTTCTGTCAGACATTTGCTCCGCTTTCTGCCTGCCTTCTTCTCCCCCTCTGTCCCTGAGTCTTTAGACCGGAAGGACTGAGCCACTGGCTGTGCCAGGCACAGACAAAGCCTGGGACACTAACACAAGTTCGGCTGCTAGGTTGCGGTGGCTCTTCCATGAGAGTGGATGCAGGAGTAAACACACCTTCTAAAATCCCATGTCCCGAGGCCCAGGGAATTCTGTGATAAAGGCCATTTCCCAAAGCCTCAGGACAAGGCTCTCTTTGCATCAGGACAGCCCCGATGGAAACGTGAGATGCCGTATGCACTTCTGCCAGGGCTGGGGCACTCTTTGGGGACGGAACTCGAGGCTCTGTGTGCCCTACTTCTGACCAGAGGACAGCAAGGCCTTGTTTCCAAGTCTGTCTGGGTTGGGGGTCAGGTATCAGGGCCACTGGCAACTGTGTCCAAATGTGTCCCCGGAGACTGAACAATGAGAGCTGATATTTCAGCAGAATGATGGTCAAGTTGAAGCCCAAGTTTCTCTGTCGCCCCTTCACTTTCCAGATTTTGACTGCAGGATAATAGTTACGAGCAGAGCACCACCTTCACGAATACTTAAAAGAGATTTGCAAACTTGAACCAACTAACTGGTCAGCCCGGGCTTTATCTAAGGCTCAGCAAACTTTTTCTGTAAGGACCTGATATAAAGGCTTCTGGTATATGCTCTCTCTGTTGCAACTCTTCAACCCTGCCCAACTAATCGAACTTTGCAGAGAGAAAGCAGCCATTGAGGATATGAAAATGAATGGGCATGACTGTGTTCCAGTAAAACCTTATTGACAAAAGCAGGCTGTGGGCCATAGTCTGCCTACCTCTGTGTCAGATTAGAGATTCTCAACCTTGGCTGTTCACCAGAAGCATTCTGGGCCACATGCCCCTGACCCTTCAGGTTTGATTTAATCCGACTGGGGTGCAGTCTGGACACCAGGACTTTTAAAGGCACCTGAAGAAATTCTAATGCACAAGGTTGAGAATGGGGACAAACCCAAGCAGTGTCTCTGGTTGCAGAGACACTGGGACAAGTGGCCAGGCTCAACTTCAACCTGCCTGTCGCTCTGGGCCCAGAGCCCCTGCAGCCGTTACCTTATGACAAAGCTGTGCGTGTCAATCTCCTGCCCGCAGCCGCTGTTCAGCAAGACCCCCGAGTTGCCCACGATGGCACAAGTCTGGAAGTGCTTGTTCTTCAGCGGAGACGTTCTGGGGAGCAGATCGTAGAGGTTCTGGGACACGTTCATTGTGCTGTCACGGTCGAAGATGTAATGAATAATGTCTCCGGGCTTCAGGGTCCCCTTGAGGACAGAAATGTCCTTTTCAGCGTCCAAGAACTTCAAGATCTGCTTCCTACAAACACCAAATACACATGAAGAAAAGGTCTTCCTGTTGTCCTGTTGCTAGTTGCCCTCTGCCCTGCAACCCGGCTTTCCCAGTCCTGTGTCACCCTGTGGCCTGCTGCAGCCAGCCCCCGGGTGAAGCTGAGTTCGGAGGCCCTCTGAGAATGGGTTCCAGGTGGGGAGTATCAGAAATGACCCCGAGGCAACAACGGGCGTGGCCAGTCTGGTTGCTGTGGTTACGCCCTCTTCCTGTGAGAGGTGATAACTGCCCAGAGAAATGACTCCATTAGGACACACTGTGAGCTCATCACAGAAGACCCTGGAAGGAAGGGTGACCTACTGCTCTGGTTTGCCCAGGACCTGCGTTTATCACTGAAAATCCCACATGGCAGGGAACCCGTGTCTCGGATAAACCCAGACAGCGGTCAGCATACATCACACTCTCCTCTCAGTAGGATTCGGGGCCATCATCTGACAGGAGGTCCTGAACCAGGATGGCACCTGTCCCTCACTCCTCAGTGGTCTGTTTTCTTCTCTGCGCAAAGGGTTTCCTATGGGGTGAGTGGGAATGGATACTGTGAGGTGCGTCAGCTGCTCTCCCTTTGAGAGACTGAGCGTGCCGCCTGATGTCCCTGAGCCGGTCCATTCCACGCAGTGTGCTGCCTGAACCCACTGCTGTCTAGTTTGGAGTTTGTAAATATTGATACCTGTCTTGCCCCTCTGAGCAAGTTCCTTTGTGCTGTTTCAGAACAAAGGTGAGCAAATGACAGCTCTCTAGGCTCTAGGATGAAAGTTCTAGAATCATCTGGCAAAGTACACAGTTGGAACGGGGGATGGTCAGAAAAAGGATAGATGTCCTCTTAGAATCACCTGGGGAGATTTACTGAAACCACTCAGGCCAAGGTAGGGGATCCTAGGTGGGGGTGGGGGGGGAGCTGCAGTGACATGAAGAACTGTCTAAATCTCCCAAAAGATCTTTAGAAATGATTCAAGTCGGGGTACCTGCGTGGCTCTGTTGGTTAAGTGTCTGGCTTCAGCTCAGGTCATGATCTCGTGGTTTGTGAGTTTGAGCCCTGCGTTGGGCTGACAGCTCAGAGCCTAGAGCCTGCTTCAGATTCTTTGTCTCCCTCTCTCTGCCCCTCCCCTGCTTGTGCACGCGCGCTCTCTCTCTCTCTCTCTCAAAAATAAATAAACATTAAAAAAAAAAAAGAAATGATTCAAGTAATAGAAAGAAACTTGGTACCCACACTAGCCTAAATGCACTTCATTTCCTACAGCAAACCCCTATCTAGAATAGATACAATGATGGCAGTCTTCTTTTCCACAGAACACTGGAGGGATAGAACCTTCCTGCACTTGGCAAAGGTGAGAATTTGCAAGACGGTTGCCCCATTGTGCAGATGGTAACACTGATGCCTGAGAGCCTGTGAGATGTGAGATATTTACAACCTGCAGTGCATCCCAGTAGGGTGCCCACTCAGTCACTCAGGGGACTATAAAGAATTCAGAAGTTCTGGGATCCCGCCTGAGAAATCCCAACTCCAAGAGTGGCCCAGGTCCCAGCATGCTTCCCAAAGCTCAGCAGGTGACTCCAGCATGTGCCCAGGGTTGGGAGCCTCTGGAATAGCCAAGGAGTAACTAGAATGCTTGGCAGGGCACCACCTCTCTGCTAGTCTTTCCTGATTAATGACCGGGAACTCTTGCCATCATGCAGGGGAGACACCCTTTGCTGAATAATTTGTATCTCTTGATAGGAAACAGAGGCATTAATTTTATTTACCACCCTGCCCTTTACCAAGGATTATACAATTTGGCAAACTGACACAGTATGGAAATTGCTACAGCCTCGGCAGTCACTTACCCCACAGTATTTAAAACTAAGGAGAGCCCCCCAGAAAGTCCATAAATAAACACCTCTGTGAGTGAATTAATTTATAGCTAATTATGAGAAATTACTATCAATTATTAAACATCATTCCAAATCACCCCCAGCATCTTTTATTAAGAATAATTTTGGTGATTAATTGAAGGAAGTTAAAGGAAATTCTTTTCCCCCTTGGTGAAGGCACATTGCTCCTGCCAGGGTGGCTGTGTGTAGGCTCTCATGGTCTGGTCTTCTCTGAAAGTGAGGGGTGTGTGTGTGTGTGTGTGTGTGTGTGTATAGTGTCCATTTCTCTACGCAGTGGCCGAGAAAGGGCCAGGGAAAGGATTTCACTCAGAGGTGGTGCAGTGGGTGAACAGTGCCCACCCGCTAAATATATGTCTGGTCCCTAACCCTCAGAACCTGTGATGTGGCTTTATTTGTAAAGAGCATCTTTGCAGATAATGAAATTAAGGATCTTGAGATGGTCCTGGATTACCTGGCCCTAAATCCAGTGATAAGTGTCTGTACGAGAGGCAGGCTAGGGAAATACACAGACACAGAGAAGAAGACCATGTGACATGGAGGCAGGGATTGGAGTGATGAGGCCACAGGGTGAGAAAGGGCTGGAACCTTCACCTGCCCCACCCCCCCCCAGCATCTGGAAGGGACAAAGAAGGATCTCCCCAGGGCCTACAGAGGGATCATTTGGAACTCTAGCCCCAGAGCTCGGAGAGAATACATTCCCATTGTTTGAAGCCCCCAAGTGGGTGGGAACTGGTTACTGCCACAGCTGTTCTCACTGACTGATCCAAGGGCAAGTGAGGAAGGCCTGCAGCTGGTCCACCCAGGGGGCCCCAGAAGGGGCACTGGTGAGGGTGGCATATTGGGGGCAGCAGAAGTCCGTTCCTTCAGATGGCTTCTCAGCTGCCATCTGGGTCCCAGGCCTCTCCAGCCCCTACACCCTCTCATGTCCCCACACAAAACCTTGAGAGCTACGGGGTGGGGGCATTTCCATTTTGACAATGAGCCTACCTGGAAGGGGCCCCCCTCTCTGTGTGGTGACACTTTGGGTAGCTGGGCCCCCTGTTCTCCCTCCCCATGGTGGAAGGCCTGGGGAGGTTGGCCACCATAGTTGAGGCTTTCCCCGTCTGGTCCAGGCGACTGTGCCCACCTCACCACCCGTATCCCCTACCGCCTACTTAGAGCTCCAGAGGCACTGAGCGCGAATAGCGGAAGTCAGCCTGTGTGCAAGCGGGACGCAGCTTGGCAGGCCTGGCAAACCCCTAATTACCGCTCAAAACACATTGCTCCTTTCTCTGCTATCCCTCTCAGCTCCCTTACAAAATGAAGTGTGCTCTCTTCTCAGCACGATCTCTGTATTTCCACCTATTGATGAGAAGCAACACCATCTGTGTACGTCACGTGGCCCCGTCCTGTCTGACATTTGTGTCTCCCTGCTAGCATGTCTGATTCACGTTAGCACCCTGGGCCCCCAGCACGATGCTGGGGTTATACTGACCACCCTCTGCTGGGTCAGTCATGGCTACGTCAAAGTCACGCGGTCCAAGTGCTGGACAAGAGCTGCTCTCTGGCTAAGCAGCCTTCTCCCTTGGCAAACAGGTGTCGTGTCACTCTGGGTCATGCACAGAAAGGGGGCCACGGGTGCCAGACTGGCCCAAGCAGGAGACATATCCTGCTAGAGAAGGACTCCTGCCTGTGGTCTCTAGCCCCCAGGCTCCTGCTGCTGCTGGCCCAAGAGCCTCACTCCTTCCAGACCCAGGACCCTAGCTGGGTGCTCCTGCCCCCTCTCAGGCCCCGGTTGCTGCATACACGTGCTGGCCGGCTCGGCTTGTCTCGGGTTTTTATTTCCAATTGATCGCTTACAGATGACACCTGCCTCGGCGGGAGGTAAACATTTTATTTCTATCCTGACTTCTTTAGATGATGGAGAGTGGCAATTTGCTGGCTTGTGCTGAAGAAGGCCAGGTCTGTCTCTTGTCCTATTGGTAATTACCACTACCTGATCCTTAGAGACAGCGTCTGGTTGTGCCTCCACTTGGCCGAGGCGGGCTGGATGTTGTGCTTAATGCTTTCATTACTTCTGTCAACAACAGCTGGCGACGAGGAACCATTTATTACAACTTCAGCTCTGGATGGGGGGGGAGAAAAAGGAAGAGGGTAGACATGATGTGTTAGCATGCCGATGACAAGTCTAATAGTTTTGTTTTTGCACGGGCTTGGATGTAAACTTCGGGAGAGCAAAATTGAGGTTATTACCTGAGAAGAGAAGGAAGTCTGTTTATCCTCTGGAATGCCCGAGCTCTCTCCCTTAGGTATAAGCTCCTTACGCTTTGGAGACAGGGAGGGAGTATTAAAACTATCTTTCTCCCCACCCTCCGCCCCACCGTCTCCTCCCAGGGAGATCTAGCTGTCACTGTCAGAACGGTAATACGTCTTCTCTCGAGTTACTTTTGTGAAACTCCGCAGTTGCATTAGCAGCTGGGTGTTATACGATGGTCTGCAAACTTAATAAAGAGAAAACAAAAGCTCATGCCAGGGGAATGAGATGCAGCCTGCGGCTTCCCCCACCTCCCCCTTATCTTATCACTGCCTCGTTTGTACTCTCCGATGCCACCTCACACATCCGCCTTGTTCCAGAGTTATCGGTGTTGGGTCTGTCTCTCCCACTAGGCTGTGAGCAGGGGAGCTCCCTCATTCATTTCTTTATTCCCCGATGGTATAACATAGCAGGTGCTCAATAAAGAACCATTTGTTGAATTTGAGTTTGAATTTCACTCTGGGGGGAGCCTGGATGTGTGAAGGAGCTGGTTGGCCCTGCCTGCCTCGGGGCAAATCACAATTCTAGCTGCGCACGGTCTTTCCGCCTGACGCTGGAACGCCAGGCATTTCGGACCCACTTGAATTCTGAGGGTTGCAATCTATGCTAGTAGGTTTCTAAGAAACTAGGTTACAATTACATCTCTAAAGGCAGTGTGATAGCCAGCCTGCCTCTGTCGGATGTGTACAAATGCAGAATTTCCTTTGCTGTGGATTCTCCCACTTAAGTGGATTCTCCCACTTAGAATAAGTGGGTTTGTGATGCCAAATTTTGGAGCTCTAAAAAATTCAAACCAGGGGTGCCTGGGTGGCTCAGTCGGTTAGGCGTCCGACTCCTGATTTTAGTTCACGTCGTGATCTCACGGTTGTGGGATTGAGCCTCATGTTGGGCTCCATGCTGACAGCCCAGACTCTGCCTGGGATTCTCTCTCTTCCTCTCTATCTGCCCCTCACCTGCTCTCTCTCTCTCTCTCTCTCTGTCTCTCTCTCCTTCCCTCCCTCTCTTTCTGCCCTGCCTCACTTGCACTTGTGCTCGTGCACGTTGTCTCTCAAAATAAATAAATTAAAAAAAAAAAGAATTCAAACCAAACATCTATGTCCTCGGCATTTATCTCAGAGCACCTAAGTTAAAAAAAGCTGCAGGCCTTTTAAGGAGGTATACAGTCAATGCTCTATTTTTCTTTTTGTAGGTAGAGAAGTTGGGGGTGCAAATTTCTCTGCACGTTCTCCCCACACACCTCCATTTCTCTATATTCCTGACTCCTCTGGATGATACAGCTGGCCCTGGATTCAAACATATGTAACTTTTGCAGAGGACTAGAAAAGGAAACCAAAGACCCGACCCTTGGAAATTTTGCTGTTTTCATGAAAGGGAGCAGAAGGCGTAGTGAAAAGATTTCACAGGCTTTGTGACTGTGGGTAAACCACTTTACCTCTCTGAGCTTCAGTTTGCCCACTTATAGAAAGAAGGTGTGGAAGAAGAAGAAGATATCCACCTCTAAGGTTCTGGAATTCAGTGAGGACCATGGTGTCACCTGCACCTGTCACTGACTGCACTCTCATGAGGTTCCAGCAGGAGCTGCTTGTGGCTGTCAACCTTTGGTACAGCCTACTTCTGCACAGGGCACAGGCAGGAGCAGTGACACTTGGGACCACAGCGTCAGCTGTCACACCCGAAGAGCCCAAGCTTTACTGCAGCTTACGTCAGACGGTATCTATGATAGAAACACTTGACTACTTGTGATGGGGAGTTGTCTTCTTAAGAGGCTAGCTGATGTTCTCGTCAGTAACAGGTGACTAGAACCTGGCATCTGTGGCCTAAAGTGGACTCAGTCTAAGGTGAAGCTCCTCAGAAACTGGGGCACATTGGGTGACCCCAGGCTATCTCAGGCAAGAGGGATCTGCAGAGGGATCTGTCATGGCTGCTTGCCCTGGGGATTTGCTTGGAACACTCCAGAAGGAGTTTCCAGGCTTCTCTGGGACACAGTGTGGTGGAGGCAATAAAGGGAAGGAGATAAACACTGGCGTGGCTGGGGGTAATGTTCTGTTTCTGTCTCCACTTCCAAGTGAAACTTCAGAGGGGACATCATCTACCACCACCGGCCATGGTCTTCCTGGACTAAACCTGGCTCTGTGGCTATTGAGCTGGGGAACTTGGTCAAGTCACCTCGGGTCTCTCGCCTCTGCCTTCTTCTCTATAACATCGAGGGGATGGATTAGGTGACCCCAGGAGCCACTTCAGCTCACTGGTTTACGTGCTGTATGTTGCACCAACACACCTGGATTGGTGGGTTGTTCTAATTGAGTGAGGAAACTGAGGCTCAGAGGGGAGAGATCATTTGCCCACAGCCCCAGCTAACAAGCATGGGGACTGAATCCAGGTCTGCTTGGCTCCCAAGACTTTTCTTCCCTCTTCTCACGCTATTTCAAGAAAGGTTCTTCCACCCTGAAGTTACCATGGGACACAGGGTTCTCCCTCGGGGGGCAAGATCTTTTTTCTCCAATAGGGGACATCTTTCCACAGTAGAAGAGAGAGGAACTTAGGGTCGCATGGCCTCCTTTTTTATTTCTGCGTTTTACCAGGCACAGTATAAGCTTCATCTGTAGCTCCCAGGTGGTTAAGGGGTCATTAGATATCCAGAAGCAATGACATCAGGGAGAGAGGGTCAGTTTCCTGAATTATGTGGGGTCAGGGAGGGACACAACTGATAGGTCTAATAGGGTCAAGAGACCTAAAAAATTTTACGGAAGAGCAAATAACAGACCCTGCTCTAAATAATTTAGGTCTTTCATTCCAAGACTGACCACCAGGAAGTAAAGCAAGACCTTCATTTTCAGTAGTGGTTGTCTATATTAAGTAACTTGGCATTCTTTTCTCCCTTCTACCATTCCTTTAGCTGGAGCTCCTAAGACTGTAAGTCAGAGCTGTGGAGCAGTTGTCATTAATGGAGAATGAGGACTCAGAGGCATGGTCCAGCCATAGCCAGTGGCAAGTGTGAGTCTGTTGGCTTACAAAACATGTGCTCACGCCTCCATACCCAGCTGCCCCTGGCCAGGGGTCATCACAGGAGAAAATGCTTTTTTGAGAGTTTAGATTGTGCATTCAATAATCAAGGTTAACATTACTGAGTGGGCTCCCTAAAAATTTTAAGAGATCTTTGTGAAGTTCCCGAATGTTTTATTTTCTGTCTTAATCTCTTGGACAAGCCACCTACCACAATGAAATGGAGTGAAAGTCCAGATTCTCTTCAGAGCCTCCACCGTTCAGCAAAAATGCCAAGTTTCTGAATAAGCACATTGACGGCTCAAGTGCTCCAAAGAGTGTGGGCTCTTTTCCAGAAAGCAGCGCTTACCCATCTCAGTTTTCCACCTCTGAAGCCTCTAGACCTTGGGCCATCTCATGGGCTCTTCTATCGACAGCTCCTCCCCAAAAGTGATTAGGGAAATGCAAAGGCAAAGTGAAACAAAACAGATCTATTTGCTAAGGAAGAAGGGCACCATCCAGCAAAGAGGAGAAGCAGATTAATAGCCGCCTTACAGCAAAAACAAATGAACACAAAATCTAATTTACAAACCTATTAGATTTGCTATGTAAGCTGTTCACAGCTGATCTGATTGTACCTCTGCCTCCAGAATCCCTGCAAGACAAAGGAAATGCATTATTTATAAACCCAGCTCTTCTTTGTAAAGCCCTCTTCAATCACCAGGAGATCCTGCAGCCCGCCTGGAGAACTAGAGGGAGAAGGAGATCTTACTTTGGCTTCTCCAGGATGGGTAACGTCCTGGCCCAGCTACAAACCCAAGCATTTTTCAGGGAATGAGGCCTCCCAGATCCTCCCTGCCTCCCACTTGAACACTGTTTGAATCCGCACAAAGATTTCCACTTGAGACTCTCATTTGACTCTTGAGACAAACTCCTCTGAGATTGATCTCCAGTAGTTAATCCCACAGGACAGGTACACCTCAGCATGTGCTCTAACATGACTCGTCATGACTCAGCATGTGCTCTAGTATGACTCAGTATCTGTTCTGGCATGACTCATCATGACTCAGCATCTTTCTAGCATGACTCATCATGACTCAGCATGTGCTCTAGTATGACTCAGCATGGCTTGGCATTCACGCTAGCATGATTCAGCCTCTGCCCCTAGTCTTCTCTTGCTCTCACTCACGTGTGTTAGGATGGTGTCCATCACATTCTTTCCAAAACTGAGACACCAGAAGTTCAACAGAGGCAGCAGTGATCGAGTCAGTCATTGCCTCCAACCGAATGTAATAATGATTTGCTTTTTGGTGGCAGAAAAAATACTAAGCGGTGTCACTTTGTGGGGGGAGCAGGAGCTGGGGGAATAATGGAGTCCTTTGCTGCTTCTGGCATATCAAGTTTTGGAATAAAAGCTTTCTAAGGCCCTTTCTAGCCCCATGATCCCTTCAGTTCTGGAAAATTCCATTCTCAGGGGACTCTCAGGCCATGAAGTTTCACCCCGCTTTGCGATCATAATGGGCCAGGGAACAGATGAATCCGTCCAATCCCCGGTACCTAGTCCACTTTGCGCTCTGTGTGTGTTTTTAAAAAGTTGTGAGATGAGTTATTTTTATTAAATTAAACAATTTTTCCCCACTGATCTATATAGGCTATGTGGTTTGAAGAGCTATTTCTTCATACTTTTCTCATTTTTTTAAAATTCCATCTAGCTTTTTGGTCAGGGTGTTGGTACAATCCAAAGAAATGATTAAATTACTAGCAAAGCTCTGTGTTTCGAGGGATCCTATGATTTAATGAGAACTCTTCAGGGGATGTTAATGCCTATCTCTATGCTGGCTTTACATCTGAATTTTTCTGTCTGCTTTCTTTAGGGTTAGCATATCTGTAAGTATAAGTCTGTGTGTGTGTGTGTGTGTGTGTGTGTGTGTGTGTGTGTGTGTCTGTGAAAACATACATGGCTTTTCCTGATGGACTGAAATGTCTTTTTAGCATTACTTGGCAATGGCAGTGTCCTCCTACTTCACAGCCAGCCAGACAAGAGGAAGCGTGCTTTGTCCTACCCAGAGCCTCCTCCCAGCTCTTCCCTCGGGTCTCAGATTTCATCACTTCCTGTCTGGTTCTTGATTACATGGAATATCATTTGTTCTTCACATTTTAAATCAATGTCTCATATTTCCTTTCTATTCCTCCTGGTTTCTCCCTGGGATGACAGATCTTTGGTCCTTGTAACTCAGGGCTCTGGCCCTGTAACTATAGCTACTCAGGTCAAACCCCAAGGGCTTTCCTGGGTGTACTGCTGTCCACATGTCACTGACCTTTCACACCCCCACCCTGACCCCCATCCTCAAAATCAGCACTCCTTGTGGGGAGAGGAGACCTGCATGGCCAGATATTAAGTCAAATGCAGTAATTCAAACTGTGGTAATAGCTCAAGACTAGTGAAATGTTAATGGAACAAAAAAGATCATCCAAAAAGGCTACATATAAGAATTGATTTACGACTTTAAAAAATCATGATCAATGAGAAATTCAATAAATGGTTCAGAGTAGTTGGTTAACAACCAGGAGGTGAGGTGGAGGGAAGTCAGTTGAGTGTTGCTCTATTCTACACCGTGAAATAAATTTCAAGTGATTTAACTAGTGTTTCCTAAACTTCAGCCATTCTCATACCCCTATCACCAGTTTGCTAGATTTTGTTTATCACTCACACCATTATCTACTTAAGTTTTAAAATGGACTCCTCTTTAAAAACTCCTTATCCTAAGCAATGCCATCTGTGAAAATACAGGTTTGATATGATGGTTATATATCTATGTGACAACACAAAATCATTAACACAAAAGTATTTATCAACGGAATTCCTAGAAGCATCTTACATTATCCCCAAGAATACTTATAGCACCCTCTGGGAAAGACTGAATTGAATAGTTACATATTTAAGGAGGGTATCCCATAAGAAATTGGTAAGAAAATGGACGAGAATATTTATCATATACTTGTTGAGGTATGAAGAGTGTATATGAAGGACTTTTTACATTCAGAAGGGTAAGAAGAAATCATGAGAGGAAATACAAGACAGATTTGACTTCATAAAAATGTAAAACTCTGCTTGTACAAAAAACAGTCCTCAACAAACTCCATGCACAGTGTCTTTCATGAGATGGAAGCAGGCACCAGGTGAGAGAGCACTGTCTGTATGAACCCTCTGGTTTAATGTGACCCGAGTTTAGAGAGGACCATATGCCAGACAACAGCTGCCCCGGTCTTTCTCTTCACCTGCCTCCAGGCCAGGTGCTGAGTGGCACCCAGATTTGCCAACGTGGCACCACACCTCCATGCACTCTTTCTACCAAGCCTTCCTCTACCTCAGGTCTTCCTAGCTTTAGCACTGTTGACATTTGGTTGGGATATTTCTTTGTTGGCGGGTTCTGGGGTAGGGTGTTTAGCAGCATCCTGGCCTCCATCACTTTCGGCAAGTAGCAGGCCTCCCGCCCTACCCCTTAAGCTGTGACAACCCCAAATTGTCTCTGGACATCACCAAATGTCCCCTGGGGCCGTGGGGCCAAATTGTCTCCATTTCAGGATCTCTGCTCTAACTCCTGTTTTCTGCCTGGTGCCCCTGGGAAGATGAATCCCCCACCAGCCAGCCCATCCACATCACCTTCCCATGCTAAACCCCAAGCCAATGCCTGCGCCTTCCTTCTGAACCATCTCCATTTTCATTTCTCCACCATCTTTTCCTTCTCCCAGAGCATTCAATTCTCTTATAGCATTTGTCACCTTAGTTCCGTATTTAATTATATCATGGACTCACAGATGGGAGGCTTTAAAAAAAAATCTCATTTGTATCATCTAAACTCCTCTTCTTGGAGTTGAAATCAGGGACTAGAGATTTGGTCCTGGTTGCAGCTTTCTTGGTGGCTCACCACACTAGAATGTAAGCCCCTGGAGGGCATGCATTAACCACATCTTTTATTTTCTGTATTCTGATGCTTTGATGTCTGAGGTCTTGTGGACTCTGGAGGGACTGCCCCTCCCAGGGTTAGCCAATTCCTAGGGACAGTAAACAACTCACCTGGGAGTGCAAACCAACCAATCTGGAGCCCACACCCCTGCCACCTCCCTTACTGGAGTCTCATACTCTGGGCTACTTACCCCAGAGCTAGGTGTCAGATTCTAAGGACAGCCCTTATGTCCCAGAGCTTGCTGACATTATTCAAATTAGCCAACCCTCAGCCTGCTTGCCCTGCCTCACTCCTCCTTCTGGTGAGAATGACAGTAAAGGCTCTTGTCCACAGTTTTCCCCATCTTCCTGCCTCCTGAGTGACCTGGCGCTCGTCCATGTGGCCCTGCATGGTGCACCATGTCCTCTCCTCTTAGGGTCTAGGAGTATAACCAATATCTTTTTTAATGGCAGTTGTCCCCTGATCTGTTGGCCTGACCATATCTAAATAATAATAAAACCTATATTAAAATGGGGGGATCCTGCCTTGTTCACCTTCACAGCCTTACCCAACTGGGGCTCAGTGAATCAAATCTGACTTCAAGATTTAGTGGGACTTTTCTTCCAAAGTCTTCTCTTCAGTGTGCACACTGTGTTCCTGCATATTATTTCCACTTGTACCAGACATAGTTTTGCCTCTCACATGTCCATAGAATGGGGCAGACAGACATTCAAAGAAACAGACTGCAGATTTTTGGCTCAAAAAGGATCACATGAATTAAGAAGGGATCTTTTTTTTTTTCCTCATTAGGTTTTGCCTTCAATGTTATTAAAATAAGCTTACATTCCTTATGCTAGGGGAATGCTGATATCTGCTTGGGTGAGTGACATAAGAAGGTGATCAAGTGGGAAAGGTTTGCTAAAGATAATTCACAGTGTGCTTAAGTCATAGAAACAAAGGCGCTTAGATCATGCAAAGGAGAAAATATATGGGAAAGCACTCCGCACACATAAAGAACCCTATAAAACAAGGTATAATACTAGTAATAACCACTGTTCATTTGACCCTGCTAAATATTCTCAGCCACAGCGACAATAGAGATTGACTGCTTTAAAGCTCTACATTTTAGCACAGTGATCTCCCTTCCACCACTGACCTAATACTTCCTCTGAGTACAGTGTATGTGGTCAACTAAGACAATACATCAAAATGGCATATTAAAAAAATACATCATGCACAGTTAGCTCTGTTTTTAGTGAAAAGCAATTAGCAAACCTGAAAACTGCATTTCTGTGTTGCCTCTTCACCCGAGCCCAGTTGTTTCTGGGTAAGGTAACACCCGGCATGTTGGGGTCTTGTAGCTGTGTGAGAATCTCCTGTGTCCTCTGTTTTTCACTGCAGAGTCAGGCTCAGTAAACAAACTGTCAGCTTTAATTAAGAGTCTAGACCCAACTTAAGCAATTGACTAGTCTTGAGAATAAAAGATTAAACTAAAGCATAATTCATGAATTTGCAGATGGTTCTTCCTTCAGAGTTTTGGGAGGATATTAAATGTGTTGTTGTTGTTGTTTTTTAATTTTTCCTTAAAACCACTTGGGGTTCCTACTTGTTGACATCCAAGGGACACACTATAAGTATATGGCTCCACAGACGCATGGTTGGGAGGACAGTCACGAAAGGGATGAATCATTTGGGATCAGTCACATGGACCGAGCTAGGGCTTCCCTACAGAGTTCAAGAGCAGGTTTCTTAAAAAAAATATTTTTATTGTGCTAAAATGTGCTCCCATAAAACTCCCATTTTAACCCTTTTAAAGTGTACAATTCAGTGGCCTTAGTATATTCACAAAATCCTGTAGCCATCAGCACTATTTTTCTCCTCACACAGAAACAGGTTTTTGTTTGTTTGTTTTTTTTATCACCTCAGACAGAAACTCTGTACCCATTAAACAATATCTCCCCAATCCCTCCTCCTCCCAGCCCTTGGCAACCTCTGTTCTACTTCCTTTTTTTCCCCCAAACATTCTTTTAATGTTTATTTATTTTTGAGAGAGAGAGAGAGAGAAACAGAGCGCAAGCAGGGGAGGAACAGAGACAGAGGTGGACACAGAACCCGAAGCAGGCTTCAGGCTCTGAACTGTCAGCACAGAGCCCGACATGGGGCTCGAACTCACAAACTGTGAGATCATGACCTGAGCTGAAGTTAGTCGCTTAACCGACTGAGCCACCCAGGCGCCCCTCTACTTCCTATCTTTGTGAATTTGTCCATTCTAGATATTTTATATGCATGGAATCATATAATATTTGTCCTTTGTATCTGGCTTCTTTCAATTAGTATAATGTTTTCAAGATTCCTCCATGTAGTTGCATGTATCAGAAGCCTGGCTTTAGATGTGGCAGTTGTAAGGAGGCAGAACGTTATCGAGACCAGAGAAGAAAAGACCCCTCCAAAGCGTTCATGTCTTGATCCTTGAGCACCTGTGATTAGAATAGGAGCAGAGGTTCTACCGGTTGACCAGTGTTTGAATGGCTCGGGGGCTCTGTTGCCCAGGAGCTTCCTGAGTTTGTTGCCAGAAAATTAAGCTTTGCTGTCCATCTCCTCCTCCATGGAGCTCGTTGTACTTGGCCAAGTGCTCAGATGGGCAAGGGGCCCGGCCTTGTTGATCCAGTGCAGATCATCACTATGAGTCTGGCAATGAAAGTATCTTCAGTTGCCCTAGCACAGTGGGAAACATGGCACCCCATCCTTTGGACTAAGCCAATTTGCATTCCTGAAGATTCTCTGTCACTGGTCTCTGATTCACTCTAAGCAGAAGGTAGTTGCAGGCCTTCTTGTCCATAGGCTTAGTAATCCGTTTTGGGTTGGTTGCTGTGAGACCATCCCCTACAACCTGTATACTACCTGCAAGCTTTCTGGTCATCTTGGTCTAAGGCATCTTCAGCAGACACCACTGGGTAGTCCTTGATGAAGTACTTGCACCCAGTCACCAGCTAGTCAGGAGTGAGGCAATGGCTGGGGTCATCAAGAAACCTGAAGTTCAAGGTCATACTTTCCAAACCCTAAGAACTAGAGGCTATTGCATTCACATCATTCACCACCATGTAAATGTAGCCCCCTTTTCTTTCTTTTCTTTTCTTTTCTTTTCTTTTCTTTTCTTTTCTTTTCTTTCTTTCTTTCTTTCTTTCTTTCTTTCTTTCTTTCTTTCTTTCTTCCTTTCTTTCTTTTCTTCTTTCTTTCCTTCCTTCCTTCCTTCCTTCCTTCCTTCCTTCCTTCCTTCCTTCTTCTTTCCTTCCTTCTTTTCTTTTTTTCTTTTCTTCTTTCTTTCTCTCTTTCTCTCTTTCTTTCTCCCTCTCTCCCTCTCTCTCCCTTCTCTCCCTCTCTCTCTCTCTCTCTCCCTCTCTCCCCCTCTCTCTCCCCTCCCCTCCCCTTCCCTCCCTCCCCTCCCCTCCCCTCCCCTCCCCTCCCGTCCCCTCCCCTTCCCTTCCCTTCCCTTCCCTTTCTTTGCCTTCATAATGTGGGGCCTGAATTCACAACCCTGAGATCAAGAGTCAGATGCTTAACTGCTTGGACCACCCAGGTGCCCCAATGGAGCCAGCCTTTCTAGTCACATTTCATTGCAGCTCCAAGGTTCTATATTCTCCAGGATATGAGTCAGCGAACTTTTCCTTTGAAGGGTCAGACAGCAAATATTTTAGGCTTTGTGGTCCAAGAGGGAAAATTGAAGAACTTAAACAAGAGAAAAAAACAAATGTTCACATATTTCTCATTGATGAAATAGAAAAAGTAATTGAATACTTTTTTTTTTTTTTTTTTTTGGTATAGGTCTGTCAATGAGAAGAATATAGTTCTTTTTGGGGGAGATTAGAATTTGCCTAATTGAGGTTCAGAGTTAATAGTCTTCCTGTATCATTCCTCCACAAAACCTTCCGTTCCCTTGCTTCTCCACCACACTGTTATCTTCCCTCCCATGAACCCACTGGAACATGAGACTCGAATCTCTCAG